CAAAACAGGTTCTTTTGTAAGGTAAAGACTCCAGACTCTGGTGTGTTTGTTTGTTTGTTTGTTTGTTTGTTTGTTTTCCTGGCATCTCCCATGGTTTTGTGTCACAAATAATGGTATATAGTATTTGATGCATAGATGCTATGCTTTCATTGTATATTCCCGCCATTAATATTATATCTTAATACTTTTGTAGCTCAAATTCCAAGAGTATTATAAGGACAACTTTCGTATTCCCAAGAGGCCCAATATCTCACTATGAAGCATCTTTGACAAACATTGGTGGTTGTTCTACAGCCCATTCTTTTCTCCTTACTTTTTATGGCCTATTTACATTTGAGAGGCAAGTAGACAAGACAGATGCAGACAGAAAAAGGTATGTTTCTTCAACTGACCAGCATTCAAAAGGCAGAGGTGGGTGAGTCAAAAACCAGGAGCTAAGAACACAATCAGAAATTCCCTGTGGGTGGCAGGGATCTAAATAATTGTGCCATCACTCAATTCCCCGCAAAATGCAACCTAATTAGAAGCTTGGAGGTGAAGAGGAGACACAACAAATGGCTACCCACGCTCCTTTCTTCTAACTTGCTAATGCTGAGCCTGGAGCTCCTTCAAATCCCTTTCAGAAAAAAAAATCAACTTGCTTCTGATACCAGTGCCCTCACCATTGATTTCTGGAAATCCAAACCCATATACATCTCTTCCAGGTAGTTTTCCAAAGTCCTGTTATATCCATGATATTCCAAATTGTGTCTAGTGTTTGCATGGTTTCAAATTTTTTAGTGGGCACAGTACAATGTCTCAGTGGCTAAATCCTCATCTTGCAGCCACTGGGATACCATTTGAGTGCCTGTTCATGTCCCAGCTGCTCCACTTTCCATCCAGCTCCCTGCTTGTGGGAAAGCAGGAGATGATGGCCCAAAGCCTTGGGATCCTGCACTTGCATGAGAGACTAGAAAAAAGCTCCTAGCTTCTGGCTTTAGATTGGATCAGCTCTAGCCACTGAGGTCAGCTGGGGAATAAACTAGCAAATGGAGGATCTTCTCTGTCTCTCCTTCTCTGTGTAAATCTGCTTTTCCAAAAAAATAAATAAATAAATATTTAAATAATTTTTAAAATGTTATTGTGGATACTGTCAGAAAAGGAATTAAGTATCTTTATAATTATCTATATCCACCTTAAGCAATTTTTTTCTCTAAGAAGTTGCTGATTATACACAATAGATGCATACAAGAAATCATTTAATTTACTATCAGAACTTCACCCCAGCTCTAGGCAACTGCTGAGAGAAAAGCAGCTAATACCTGGCATGCATTCAGGGCCTGGATAATACCAAATTTGTGTTATTAAACCAGTGTGCCAGAATAATTGCCTATTTTTTTTTAAAGATGTGAATGGCAAATGCCAATACGCTGGCAGACAGAGTCTGGGGACCCTATGTGAGTGTGTATGAGCCCTGGGTAGGCAGGCAGGACCCAGGGCAGCATGAGAGACTACCAGAAGACTGGGGTTGGGAATCTGCTTGCTCATGGGCATAGGGGCCTGTGGATTGCTCAGCAAAGGGGTTCTGGGGATGTGTGGGAGGGAGGACTCCTGAGGGACAATGTCACAAGTGAGGAGTGACTTCTGGAGGGCTCCATCAACCAAGCTACTGCACTTGCAGGTAAATGAAGGGGCTGATTTGAGGTGGTTTGGAAGAGGGAAATGTGAGAAACATGAGCTGTGCTTGATAGTATCAATACCATCTATCGGCATACACAAAAGCCAAGACTGTGGTTCTACCTGGCAAGGCTCAAGCACAGTACATGCCAGTGAGTGTCAGAGCAGGAGTTGGACCTCGTCACACTAGGCCATGTGAGAGAACCAGGTCTGGGAATAGATACTATGGAGGGTTTGTGGGCTCATTCCTTGTAGGACTGCATAGGCTTGCTCAAGGGCTGGCAATTGTGACGGGCTGAACTAGGCATGACCATGGAACTCATCAACAGTCATGGGTACTGGGGTTGGGAACAGGCCAGGTTGGTCCAGGCAACAGCACCTACAGGCACACCCAAGAATTGGGTGTGGGGCAGGCCAGGCCACAACATTCACCAGCACACACAAAAGCCAAGACTGGGGGGCAGATTGTGCTGGGTAAGGGACCATTTCTTTTTCATGAAGTGTCTAGCATTTAACCATTAAATAATTCCTATTTTCATAATGAACTTATTGAATGCCTGGACTAAGCAGCAATTACATGTGTTTGAAAATAAGAACAGTAAGAGGGTACTGCAGTAGCGCATCTTTGCTTGACAGGTGTGTGGAAAACCTGCATTGGGTATTATCATGGGATTCTGAAATTGTGCAAGCAAAGTAATGTTCTATCTCTATTTCAGCAGATAAGGTACAAAGCAGCTAAGTGAAAAGCTCAACTTAGCCAAAAACCAGTTATGTACCGGGGCATTCATCTTAGCAAGGAAACCCATTTCCTGGGGAAAGAAAGGCTAAAATCCATCCTCTCTTTCCTGAGACCCAGGACCCACGGACAACTGCAGTTCAGCCTGGTCAAGTCCAGGTCTTAAGGACATAGCAGAGACTTTCAGCAGGTATGTGATTTCTCTCTCTTTCTCTACTCAGTTTCAAAAAAAAAAAAAAAAAGAATGAAAGTAAAGGAAATTTACATAATTAGTTGTTCCAAATTTTTATTACATTTAAAAATCTGTTGAAAATTTTGGTGTATTTATTTTAAGAAATCTACAATACTTTACAAAATCACTCGACTCAGAATTCATGATCTTCCCCAAAGGATTTCAACTCCACTAGAAAGCTGTATTTTCACTTTGTGTCATGAAACCTCAAAGCTGGGATTTCAGGACTCAATTATAATAGAACATCATAATTCATGTTTCTCATTGAAACTTATTAAAGAACCATAGTAAGTTTCTCCTCAATTAAAGTAATAATCAGGATGATAATTGGAGGAATAATTAAGCAAGAGATAACTATTTCATCATTCTTTCCCTTTGCTCCATGCAAAGTTTAACACTACTAGTAAAATTCTATATTCCCCCAGCACTAATGGCTCCCTAGCGAATACAGTTTAAGTGTTGCTAAAACTAATTGTGTTGCAGCCAAACTAGGGTTTCTAATTCCCAGGAGCTTTCTGTTATGTTCCTCAAAAAAGAAACTTATTTAACACTATATTCAAAGTTACATATATAGTATCTGTGTTTCTTTTGAAGAAAAGCTTTCTGGAAAACCTATATCACTAACCAATATCAGGAAAATTATGAAATACTTAATACTTTCATTCCAAAAAAGACATTTTAAAAGGATGCTGATTCAATGTTTTTTCATCCTCAGAGATTGGATTTTGAATCAGAATGTCCATGATTTATGACAAGGTGGAATCAAAAATCTTTCTTAATCATTGAGTGGATTTACAAAAGGGAATTTATTTTACTAAAGATATAAAAGTAAGGAAAATGTTTCTACTTAAAACATTGTATTTCTCTTTAGATAATCAAAAACTATTTCAGTTGAAACCATGACTTGAGCCTGACAAGGACTAACATAAAAGTGAGTATATGTATCTTCTGTACCCACACTGTTGATTTTTCTTTCTTGACCCTGAAACTCTTAATAGTTACACCCTTAGAAATAAGTCATGACGGTAGTGTGTCAATTCTTGCATTACTTTTTCCCCCTAGATCTTTCTAATTGAGTTCAGTACTAAACAGCAAGAGAACATATCAAACTAGGTCAATCTCAGGCTATCGAGTTTCTGCTACACTAGAAGAACTCTACTCCAGGATTTTTCCCACCCCAAATTCACACATTGTTGGCACACATCAATACCATATCAATCAGATTTGACTAGTTCAAAATAATTAATGCATAAATGTAGAACTGAGCCCATTGAGCTAACATAAATCTCTGAAACTTGAAATCAATCAGGGTCTTACACACATTATTCAATCATTATTTCATTCTGCCATCAACTAAAATTGAATCCAAGACAGAGTCAAATACTGTAAATGATGCAGTGGAGGACAAATGTGGATGTGACACTAGATAATACTATATGTCTTCTCTACCACAGAAATAAGAAAGGGGATGGGGAGGAAGAAAAGGAAATAAAGTTTATTGCACTTTATGCTTTATAGTTACATTATTTTTAATATTGTCATCATCTTTCTTGTGGTATATTTCCTTTATCACATTAGTGAAAACTATATTCTTTTTCAAAGTGTTTGATGAATACTGCCACACAGAATTTTTCTAAAATAATGTTATTAGTCTTAATGGACACAATTTGATTTATTTTATTCTTTGTATAAGTGACTATGTTTGAAAAGTCCAATTGGAAGTTTAAAGTTATGATCTTATTAATAAGATCTGATATTGCATTTGTGTCAATTATTGATCAGAGAGGAGCCAAAAATAAGCAGTTTTGCATAAAGACAGAGGGAGTGAATTTCAATGACTTTACCAGAAATTCACCATTTTCTGTTTAGTTTTTTTACTACACACAGAACTCAAGAAACATTTAGAAAAAGCTTAATCTGTGATTCAAAAATAGGCTTTCCAGGGATAAAATTAGCATTCGTATCGTATGGTCAATATGTTTTCAAAGTTATTGTGTATTTTGGTAAGTTATTTAATATTTCTCAGATATAATGGAGTAAGCATTTATTGCCATCAACCATTTTTTCTATCTCTACAAAAATATTTCTCTGTGTTAGCCTAGTAACCAATAAATAACCTAGTAACTAATAAATAGCAGTGAATTATCAAAGTTTAGTGTAAACCATGTTTCGTAATAATAAAACTCAGATGAACAATTTCCCTTCTGATATGAGCATTCCAGTCTGGTGGACAGCTGTTTTGTCAATTCTTATTGAAAGTGCCTGTTAAAGTTCTTTAGGTAGTACATGAACACTACAAATAGTTTTGAAATACATCATCAGTTGACATTCAGTCTTCTTTTTACATACAGAACGGTTAAAATTCAGAACGTAAGCATGCCAAATAAGACTTCAGTTGGAGAATTCATTCTTCTGGGACTTACGAACGACCCAGAGTTACAAGCCATAATATTCTTTTTTATGTTCATCACATACTTACTAAGTGTAAGTGGAAACATGGCCATCATTATACTAACACTGACAAATGTTCATTTGAAAACTCCTATGTATTTTTTCCTGAGGAATTTCTCTTTCTTAGAAATTTCATTTACAACAGTATGTGTTCCAAGATTTCTGATCAGCATTGCTACAGGAGACACAACCATTTCCTACAATGCCTGTATGGCCCAAGTATTTTTTTTAATACTTCTGGGAGCGACTGAGTTTTTCCTCCTGGCTGTCATGTCCTACGACCGCTATGTGGCCATCTGCAAACCTCTACATTACCAGACCATCATGAGTCACAAAGTCTGCAACCAGCTTGTGATCAGCTCCTGGCTAGCCGGTTTTCTTGTGATTTTCCCCCCAGTGATTATGGGCCTCAGGCTGGATTTCTGTGACTCCAACGTTATTGATCACTTCACCTGTGACTCTTCACCTATGCTGCTGATTGCTTGTACAGACACACAGTTTCTAGAGCTTCTGGCATTTTTCTTAGCAGTGCTCACACTTATGGTGACTTTGGCCTTGGTGATTCTCTCCTGTACACTCATCCTTAGGACAATTCTGAAGATTCCATCTGCTCAGCAAAGAAAAAAGGCCTTTTCTACTTGTTCCTCTCATATGATTGTGGTTTCTATTTCTTATGGAAGTTGTATTTTCATGTATGTCAAAACATCTGCAAAAGAAGGTGTGGCCCTCAGCAAAGGTGTAGCAGTGCTCAATACCTCTGTAGCTCCCATGCTGAATCCCTTTATTTACACGTTAAGGAATCAGCAGGTAAAACAGGCTCTGAGAGACTTCGCCAAGAAAATGTTGTCATCAAGCAAGCACTGATTATTGTGAAGTCCGTAGCTGAAACTCATTCTGTGTTACCCATGAACACAAAGCACACAAACATTCACCAATACACAGGTAGACAAAACATGAAAAAGGGCACTTAGCTGTATTATCCGAGATAGTATTTTCTTAAGGTTCATTTTATTTCAAAGGCAGAGTTAAAGAGAGAGTTGAGAGAGATCTTCCCTGCATTCATTCACTCCTCAGTGACCTCAATGGCAAGGGCTGGGTTCCAGGCCACATTCAAGAGTCAGTTGCTTCATCTGAGTCTCCTCTGCGAGTTCAGTGGCCCAAGCACTTGGGCCACCTTCCACTGCTTTCCCAAGAGCATTAACAAAAAGCTGGATTGGAAGCTCAGAAACTGCAACTTGAGCCAGCAGAGGTCGGTGTTGCCAGCATTAGTTTAACTCCCTGTGTCACACAGTTATACCTTTTTACATTTGGGAGCAATAGGGAGAAACTTAAAGTTATAGAGTATCTGCACAAAGGATGGATGGGCTGTAGAAAGGGAGTTGGAGTGGGAAGTGAGGACCAAGGAACAGTTTAAACACAATCAAAATGGATTCACAATCATTCTCAATCCACCCTTTCAAAAAATGTTTCTTTAATTTAGAAAGTTGGTCAAAAAGTTGGTGACAATAAATGTGACTATTTCACTATATGAAAGAAATTAGTGCTTAAATTTGCTGATTATTCCATAGGCTATACACAGTTCATAGGCACTTTTTACTAAGGGTTCACAATTCCTCAAGATAAAACTAAATAACAAGATGTATTCTGATTGGGAAAAAAATAATCTCACGAGTCCTATGTTTAAGAATCCTGTAAGACTAGTTATCAGGGTCCTTGTAAAATCAGTTGTACCACTCCCTAGATTGAATTAATTTACTGAGGGGTTGGTTTTCAATCACAATAGCAGGGAAAGGAGGCTTTAAGCTGTGAGAGGAAGACTAGGAGCTTGTGGGAGACGAGATCTCCATGCTGTCTGCAATCTGCATTCAAGGCACTGTAAAGACTCTTGGTTTCAATAGTCCTTTTGCTGTTATTTCTACATCCTAAAGGAGTAGGAACAGTGACTGCTGGGCCACTTCTTGCTGTTTTGGAATGAAGCAGACTTTTTGGGGATTGGAAAAGAGGGAATTGTTGGTGCTACTTCCGCAAAATTTCAGTTCTCACCTTAGCTGAAGATGTTCTACATCATGATGGAGTGTTGTCCTTTTAGTTTCAGCATAGATGTATCTCACAGGTGCCTTATTAGCCCATAGCTGCAACAAAACAATCAGTAAAGATCAGTCTTTTGGGGAGTAGACCCGTACATAGATCTTTCTCTGTCTTGCCTTCTTCTCTTTGTATATCTGTCTCTCAAATACAAATAAAATTTTTAAAAGAAACATGTCAGGCAAGCGTGGTAGCCTAGTGGCTAAATTCTTACCTTGTAACTGCCAAGATCCCATATGAGCACCAGATCCTGTACCAGCTGCTCCACTTCCCATCCGGCTCCCTGCTTATGCCCTGGAAAAGCAGTCAAGAACAGCCCAAAACCTTGGGGTTCTGCATCTACATGGGAACTTATAAGAAGCTCCTGGCTCTTGGCTTCAGATCAGCTTTGCTCTGGCTGTTGAAGCCACTTGGGGAGTGAACCAGCAGATGGAAGATCTTTCTCTCTGCCTCTCCTTCGTTCTGTAAATCTGCCTTTCTAATGAAAAAAAATAATAAACCTTAAAAAGAAAGAAAGAAACATGAACTGACTAAAAGTAGGCAGGAAACTGTTAAATATACCTGGACAACAAAATGCTAGATTTTATACCATTGCTTACACCTACAACAGTTGAGACTGGAGCTGAAGGACTCTATTATTGTAAGATACAGGGGACAAAAAGGGGAGAAGAGGATGAGAGAAGGGAGGAAGAATGGGGAAGCCCTATGCCTACAAAACTATAAAATGGGAAAGAAGAAGAAAAGGAAGAAACATATCATCTACAGAGGGAAAAACAACCTGCTGAATTCAGTCCTAGGGAAACTGGCTTGTTCAGTGATAGACACTGTAGAACTATACCACTTCTTCAGTTCAGTAAGGTGACTTTTTGCAGTGGATGATTATAATGATAAAATGGAAAGAGAAATCTCAGTTAAGGAAGGGAGGTTGGAGAATGACACTAGGCCTTGATGGTGCCCCTGCAATCTGTACTCTGTTTGGAGACTGGATTTTGGTAACTAACTGTGGTGGCAGGAGTAATTTTTTTGTAATAATAATTATTCAATAATGTATATATGTGTCAGTCATATTTTATATCTCCAATGCAGTCATTTTGCTTGTTAATGATACCACAATAAACATGGGCAAAAACTATATTTAAATATTTGTTAAGTTTGATCAAGTAATTTCTACTGTAATCTTTTCAGTATCTTCATCATGAACATATTCAGTAATTCCTTTATTTCTCATAAGTCATACTTTATCTTTGGTTCATTTTGGTCAGTTATATATTTAGAGGTTATTCAACTTTATCTATGCTGACAACTTGCTGAAATTGAGGTTTTATAAATGTTTTATTGCTGTGCATCCTGTTATAAATCCTTTAATTTCTAATTTTAATAATTTGAGCTTTCCTTTTGTCTGTTATTTAGGCTAATGAGAAGCATGTCAATTCTTTATGCTTTCAATAATACAAACTTTGATTTTTTAAACCTTTGGTTTTATTGATTTTCACTGTAGATTTTCCATTCTTCATTGAATTAACTTCTACTATAATCTTTATTACCACAATCCCTCTTGCTATATATTCATATTTTTTACTACAGTATGTAAAGTAAAAGATTAAATTCTCCACTCAGATTTTTTTTCTTTTTTTTCTAACATAGGTTTTTTTAAGGTATAAATTTTCCAGCTATGGGTTTTTCCCATATGGCTGTCAGTTCCAGTCTTAGCTTCTCCACTTCTCATCCAGCTCCCCACTTGTGGACTGGAAAAGCAGTAGAGAATGACTCAAAGCCTTGGGATCCTGCACCCACATGGGAGGCCTGGAAGAAACTCTCGGTTCCTGGTTTCCAATCACTTCAGTTGGTGTTGAATTAGTAAATCAAGTCTGACAATTCCAAAAAGGAACCACTTATACTCGCCAATTGTATTGCTAGGTAACACTCTAGATTCTTGAACCAAACATATCAGTATCTCCCTTAATTTCTCTCTTTTCCATTCAAAACATAATCTACTAGTAAATAAGGCATTATTGATCTTTTAAAAAAAAAAACTGAAACCTAATCCATCAGTTTTGTTGTCACTCTTCAGCTAAAAGTTATTTTCCCGATGATTTATTAACATTTTAGAGGGCAAACAGGTTGATATAGAGGTCATTTCATATGATAAACTAGTGTTGGCCTCCATGGAAAATATGCTACTTCATTTTCCACCTTAGTTTGTGTACTGATTTCATGTATTCATTCCATGTGTTGTAAACAAACCCAATTGTCTACTCATTTTACCTTTCTCAACCTCTGATGAGCACCAAACTCTGAACTATGGTGTTGGTGAGCCTTACACAATGTAGGGACAGCTGAAGGAAGAACAAGAGGCCAATGTGCTAGAAGCAACATTGAGAGGGAAGTGGGCAGCAAGGGACATTAGAAGACAAAAATAAGACTGCCTTAGACATGTCTTACATGAAGATATGTAAGAAAGAATCCAACAAAGAAGTTATAAGGAATGCATCAGCATGTTTTACTACCAAGACAGGAACAACAACTTCATACTGATGGCACTTTGTCAAAATGTCCGAAAAGTATAACTCCATCATGAAAATGGCAAGCACAAAATGATAGCTTAGACAAAATGACAGATTTAAGCACATCTTGCAAGCATCCTTATGTTTTTATGTTCAAATGTCTGTCATTTTTCCATGTCAATCTTCATCTTTTTCACTTTTTTATTTAAATGAAATTAGAGACATGGGCCACTGAGGACACCTTCACCCCACATCAAAGCGTGTGCTTCCAGTCCCAGATCCATCCCCTGTACGAGTTCCCTTTGAATGCATACTCTGGGAAGCAGTAGATGATGGCTCAAGCATTGGGGTCTTCGCCACATGTGCGGGGGTCTTGTGAGAGCCAGCAGATAGGTAGGTGAGCCCCCTCTGTGGGTCTGGCGTCTGTACTCTTAGGCAAGTTTCATCAGCCTCACACAAGATAGCAAAAAATAAACACTATTTGATTTAAATTGTCGAGCACCATCACAGCAGATCTAATGCATTTGTGTTTTCTTGTCCCTAGGGATTACTTCCTAGTTTTGTCTGTGTGAGGCTTGTTGCCAAAACTGATTATTTGATTCCATTGGTGGCTTTTAAAACAGGGCTCCAAGGAGTCTATTGTCTATTGACCTTATTAACTTCTATTAAAGCAACTAGCTATACTATTTAGAGCCAAACATCAGGAAGATCAACAAGTCCTCGCCACTCAGCACTACGAGACATCCCCAACACCTCACCAGAGCCATGCTTGACAGTGGCTGGCAAGTGGACAAGAGCCCGTTGCCTTGGTTTCAACTGCCCAAAGCCACTTTTGGAAAAACTCAGAAGTGAGGCTCTAGGCATTACCAGGGCCTTTTCGCAGTGTGTTTCCTTGAGAAAACTTCGCTTTCCCGGGTCTCTGCCAGATTGTTACTATTCAGCCTGTGCCTCATTATGAGCAATGGCCAACTAAGCAGATGCTGTGAAGCGACTCCCTGCATAAGCAGTAAGTATGAATGTGATTAGAACTCCCGTCGTTTTGCATTGTGTGTATCTACGTGGGCACATGTGGTGGCAGGAAAGGACAGGTGAAGGGAAACAGTGTTGATGTACTCTATTGCATAAGAAAAGTGTTAGACAAATCGTCGGCATGTTGAATCCTAATACTGGCATTTCATGGAAATATTTTTAATTCACTTCTGAAACATATTATAATCCTAGAGATAAGGATCAAAAAAGTTCAGAATCATGACCGGTTCTGGTTAGGGAAAATTC